TTTAGTGAAAATGTTGCCAGATCGCTAAATAGTAATAATAATAAATTGGCGGTTAATTTGTTCGGCTTGAAATTTGAGTATGACTCAGCAAGTTTGCCGGACAGTGAGATGTCACCTCATGTTGTGCTTTTACAAGTCACTGGTCGTCAAAGTGCCGATAATTCTTCGTTGAAATACGGAGCAATGTATGAAGAAACGAAGCCACGTACAATCAGAGCTCAATTTGACAAGGCAGAGTACGAAGAAATGTTGAACGAGCACTATGAAACGTACTCTCCGATGATTTCTCAACAAGTATTCAAGAACACCATAATCGACACTTTACGAAGTAAAAATTCAGAAAGTGAGTTAATCAACTTCCTTGGTTATGAAGCTATAGAATTCTTGCAATACATTATCAAAAATCGAGAATATATTGCAGGTTTGAATTCCGATTTCATTTCACTGCAAGGGAATATCGTGATGGATAAACTAGCTACACAGTCTGAAGAAGGGATTAAATTATGGAAAGACATGGAAAAAATAGGAAGAAAATTGGATCCGACGAACGACAGAAGATAAAGAATCTGATGAAGAAAGCGATGTTGTCTTTGTAGAATTTCCTTCGAAACGAGGATGAACGAGAGAAGACTGTACTTGAAGATTGTAATTTATAGTATTCGATGTAGCATATCACGTTGGTAAGAATTTATTGATTGTAATAATAAATAATTACATGGTACATTTGGACAGAATTTTTAATTGTATGCTAAGAATTAATATTTATATGCTATTGTAAACTAAATTGTATATTATAATATTCGATGCAGCATTTTATGTGAGAATTTTTTAATTGTTAGAGTTAATAATTACACGTGAGAATTAGTAATTACAGTTGATGAGAATTTATAATAGTGTAATAATTTGAATGAGATATGGATGAGAATTTATAATTGGATAATTATTTGTAATGAGATGTAGAAGAGAATTTATAATCGTATAATTATTTGGAATGAGATGTGGATGAGAATTTATGATTGTATAATAAATGGATATTGTAGTATTCGATGAAGCATATTATATTGACGAAGAGTTATTAATTTCTGTTTCAAAGGGTGCTAGATTTTGTGAAACTAATGTCGTTATGTTAAATGTAGTTAATCAATAAGTTATATTGGGCAAGGAGTGGTGATCTTGTTTGAATAAAAATTTTGTAAAGTTGCATAATGTAATTTTTTAATTGTTCCCTTTTACATTGTAACTAAGTTTCGGATTCGAGTTTCGTGAATTTAAATGTTAGCATCTTAATTTTTAAATTACTTTTTAAAGTTATTTGATAAATAATCTACTTATGAAATATAGATGTTATATTATTATGTATTTTATATAAAAGTTGAATTAATTCATTTCCAATTA